GAGGACAGTCGTGTGGCTGGAAGGCGAGGCACGGAGAACATGAACCAGAACCACGGGAGTCTGCATCCAAACAGGAGCCAAGGAAACAGGAGGACTGTAGGCACAGAAACGAAGGTAAGTATTTCTCATATAATCTTAATTTAACTGGCCAAAAGCATAAATACCAAATAGGGTACAATGCTCCAGCGGTGAGTCACACTGGACTGCAGCCTTAAATAGTAGCAGGAGCTCGTCAGATGGATGGCTGCCAGCTGGTGGTAATCAGCAGCCAATTGGAGGAGGAGCTGCAGGCAGTGGAACTCTTACAGATTCACAGATTGTTGAACATGAGCCGCAGTCTGTGAGGGTCCACAACTTTCTTCCTCCAACATAATTCTCAGCACTGGCTCCCCTCAGGGCTGTGTGTTGAGCCCCCTCCTGTCCACTCTGCTCACATATGACTGTGCACATACCCATCTAGGCTATCATACTGTAAAGTTCGCAGACGATCCAGCAGTGGTTGGATGCATCACAAACAATGATGAGTCCAACTACAGGCAGGAGGTGGAACATCTGCAGAGCTGGTGCAAGGAGAATAAACCACATCAATGTGAAGAAGACAAAGGAGATGATAGTGGGTTTCAGAAAGAGCAAACACACCTACTCGCCACCACCGCTGCACATAGGAGGATCTGTGGTGGAAGTGCTCTCCAGAAACATGTACTTGGGTGTGCACCTGAATGACAACCTCAGCTGGAGCAACTGTAGGGTTTCTGGGGTCTTGTCTTACATGTTGTGTTTTCCCTCATGTTTGCCTGTCACCCCTCAGCATTTCTCCTCCTGTGTTCCAGCACTGTTGCACCTGTGTCTAATTCTAATCACCGCAGGTGTCACTCATTTCACCTTGTTTGTGTCTGTATATATTCAGCCTCTTGGTGTCTTGTCAGTGTCTCTGGATTGTCCTTGTCCTTAAGGCTTCATGACCTGTCTCTCTTTGTGTCCTCCTTTAAACAGATCATGACAGAATCCAGAGACCATACCGAACCCAGCAGGAAGATTGACATCTTTACATGGCTCGCCCGTGAGGCGGACAAGACTGCTCGGCGTGAGGAGGAGGAGAGGAAAAAGACTTTGTACCAAGGTACGCGCCTGGCTATTAAAACTGGGTCTTTTGCCGCACCACCTCACCTTTCTTCACCTTCTCACAGAGCGACAGCTCCTCGCAACCCACCTCCTCCCCAACCACCTCCTGCTTTCCTGGAGCGGTCTTCAAAGGGAGGGGGGCAGTCTGCTTGGACTCACCACAGGAGCAACGGGCGGCGGAACCGAGCCGGCTCCACCGAACTCCAGCACGTCCCTCCTCAGACGCAACCCAGTCCATGCCGGTGTGTTTCCCTTCGTGGGGGGGAGGACGTCGCACCTGTCTCTGGGGGGAGGACGCCGTACACCCCTGCGTACCTGTCGCTTGGGGGGAGGAACCCTGCAGTTCCAGCGATCTCTGGGGGAGGATGATCGCTGTGGAGGATGTCATCTCCAGGTACACCAGGGCTGACAACGCTGACGGCTCGCATGAGAGGTGGGAGCAGTTCCGGCGGGCATGGATGGAGAGGCGCGTGCTGCGCTCACTCCTGCTGGTCTCCGCACCAGCCCAGGACCCGCTGGTCTCCGCACCAGCCCTGGACCCGCTGGTCTCCGCACCAGCCCTGGACTCGCTGGTCTCCGCACCAGCCCTGGACTCGCTGGTTCCCGCACCAGCTCCTACCATGCTGGGTTCCGCCTCAGCACCAAGACTGGCTCCCGTGCCAGCACCAAGGCTGGCTCCCGTGCCAGCACCAAGGCTGGCTCCCGTGCCAGCACCAAGGCTGGTTCCCATGCCAGCACCAAGGCTGGTTCCCGTGCCAGCACCAAGGCTGGCTCCCGTGCCAGCACCAAGGCTGGCTCCCGTGCCAGCATCAAGACTGGCTCCCGTGCCAGCATCAAGACTGGCTCCCATGCCAGCATCAAGACTGGCTCCCGTGCCAGCACCAAGACTGGCTCCCATGCCAGCACTGAAGGTCCTCGTCCCTCCAGAGGTCCTCGCTCGTCCAGAGGTCCTCGTCCCTCCAGAGGTCCTCGCTCGTCCAGAGGTCCTCGTCCCTCCAGAGGTCCTCGTCCCTCCAGAGGTCCTCGTCCATCCAGAGGTCCTCGCTCGTCCAGAGGTCCTCGTCCCTCCAGAGGTCCTCGCTCGTCCAGAGGTCCTCGTCCCTCCAGAGGTCCTCGTCCCTCCAGAGGTCCTCGCTCCTCCAGAGGTCCTCGCTCCTCCAGAGGTCCTCGTCCCTCCAGAGGTCCTCGCTCATCCAGAGGTCCTCGTCCCTCCAGAGGTCCTCGTCCCTCCAGAGGTCCTCGCTCCTCCAGAGGTCCTCGCTCCTCCAGAGGTCCTCGTCCCTCCAGAGGTCCTCGTCCCTCCAGAGGTCCTCGCTCGTCCAGAGGTCCTCGCTCGTCCAGAGGTCCTCGCTCGTCCAGGGGTCTTCGCTCGAGAGGTCCTCGCTCTTCCAGAGGTCCTCGCTCTTCCAGAAGTCTTCGCTCGAGAGGTCCTCGCTCGTCCTGAGGTCCTCGCTCATTCCCCAGAGGTCCTTGCCCATCAAGCTGCAGCTGTCCCAGGGGTCTCCTCACCTGCAGTTGTGGTCCCCCCACTGGCCATAAATGGGTGGTCTCCTGGCCGCCCGCCAGACCTCTGGCCTGCTGATGGATGGTCATCAGGACGCCCCCCGGATCCTCTGTCTTGTTGTGGAAGGTCTCCTGACCGCTCACCTTGACCAAGGGGGGTTTTCTGGTTTCTGTGTTTTCCCAGGTTCCTACCTGTCGGCTTTTCTTTTGTTCCTTCTGTGCCCTACTTCTTTCCTTTGGTGCTCTACTTTGGGATTTCAGGGGCCATCCCTTGAGAGGGGGGTCCTGTAGGGTTTCTGGGGTCTTGTCTTACATGTTGTGTTTTCCCCCATGTTTGCCTGTCACCCCTCAGCATTTCTCCTCCTGTGTTCCAGCACTGTTGCACCTGTGTCTAATTCTAATCACCGCAGGTGTCACTCATTTCACCTTGTTTGTGTCTGTATATATTCAGCCTCTTGGTGTCTTGTCAGTGTCTCTGGATTGTCCTTGTCCTTAAGGCTTCATGACCTGTCTCTCTTTGTGTCCTCCTTTAAACAGATCATGACAGCAACAACACTATCAGCCTGATACAGTGCCTTGCGAAAGTATTCGGCCCCCTTGAACTTTTCAACTTTTTGCCACATTTCAGGCTTCAAACATAAAGATATAAAATTCTAATTTTTTGGGAAGAATCAACAACAAGTGGGACACAATCGTGAAGTGGAATGAAATTTATTGGATGTGTCAAACTTTTTTAACAAATAAAAAACTGAAAAGTGGGGCTGTGTTGTTTTTACGCCAGACATATCGTTTTGCATTGCGGCCAAACAGTTCGATTTTGGTTTCATCTGACCAGAGCACCTTCTTCCACATGTTTGGTGTGTCTCCCAGGTGGTTTGTGGCAAACTTTAAACAACAATTTTTATGGATATCTTTGAGAAATGGCTTTCTTCTTGCCAATCTTCCATAAAGGCCAGATTTGTGCAGTGTACGACTGATTGTTGTCCTATGGACAGACTCTCCCACCTCAGCTGTAGATCTCTGCAGTTCATCCAGAGTGATCATGGGCCTCTTGGCTGCATCTCTGATCCGTTTTCTCCTTGTTCAAGATTAGTTTAGAGGGACGGCCGGGTCTTGGTAGATTTGCAGTGGTCTGATATGCCTTCCATTTCAATATGATTGCTTGCACAGTGCTCATTGGGATGTTTAAAGCTTGGGAAATCTTTTTGTATCCAAATCCAGCTTTAAACTTCTCCACAACAGTATCTCGGACCTGCCTGGTGTGTTCCTTGGTCTTCATGATGCTCTCTGCGCTTTGAACAGAATCCTGAAACTATCACAGAGCAGATGCATTCATACGGAGACTTGATTACACACAGGTGGAATCTATTTATCATCATCATTCATTTGGGACAACATTGGATCATTCATAGATCCTCACTGAACTTCTGGAGTGAGTTTGCTGCACTGAAAGTAAAGGGGCCGAATAATATTGCACGCCCACTTTTCAGTTATTTATTTGTTAAAAAAGTTTGACACATCCAATAAATTTCATTCCACTTCACAATTGTGTCCCACTTGTTGTTGATTCTTCACAAAAAATTTAAATTTTATATCTTTATGTTTGAAGCCTGAAATGTGGCAAAAGGTTGAAAAGTTCAAGGGGGCCGAATACTTTCACAAGGCACTGTAAAAAAAAAAAAAAAAAAAAACACATCAGAGACTCTATCTACTTCCTCAGATGGCTGAGACGAGCCGGACTGGGGAGCTCAGTCCTCACCTCTTTCTACAGGTGTGCAATGGAGATTGTCCTGTGCTCCAGCATCAACACATGAGCTACACAGCTGGAGAGAAAAGCTCTGCAGAGACTGGTGAAGGCTGCACAGAAGTCTGTTGGAGTCAGCCTCCCCACCATCACAGACATCTACACCTCCAGATGCAGAAAGAGGGCCACCTGCATCCCGAAGGACTCCACTCACCCAGTTCACACACTTTTTGCCCCGCTCCACTCAGGCAGGAGGTTAAGGAGCAGTAAGTGTAGAATCACTAGACTGAGGAACAGCTTCTATCCTGAAGCTGTAAGATTCAAATACATAACCAGGAAAATCACTGTAATGACACTTTAATTGGAGATTTGACACTTTTTCTGTGCTGCTGATTATCCATGCTGCTGATTTCTTACCCATAAGCTGCTATATTCATACCCCACTGCTCACAACAGATTCATGTTCATGCTGCTGTTTAATCTTCTTCTTTTTTCGGCTTTTCGCTCTTCTGGGGTCGTTGCAGCGAGTCATCCTCCTCCATCTCCCTCTGTCCTCTGCGTCCTCTGTCCACACTCCAACTACCTCCATGTCCTCTCTAACTGTATCCATATATCTTCTCTTTGGCCTTCCTCTTTGTCTTATCAGGTTTGTATCAACGTCGACCCCCAAGTAAACACACTGATTCAGTAAAGACAGATACGAGAATACAAAAGGTAAGTGATCTTTCCAACATTTTTCAGTCAGGTCATCTGGACAGTTTCTTTTTTTTTTTGTGCTGAAACGTTTCGCCTTCGGTCCGGAATGCTAAATGCATGGACTTTGTTGTTGAGAATAACTCCTTACTGTTTGTTTTACAGGTGCGGACTGAGAAGGAGAGGAGAGGTCCTGGGTTTTTCAGGAGATCCTAGTTGAGGTGATGGTGGAGAGAGGAGCAGGTTGTCTCAGTTATGAGTTGTTTGAAAATAGAAGTTGAAGGAACACCATTGATCCACAGATGAGCCCCAGTGGATAGATAAGGTCCTGGGAAGGACTTGGAGGAGCAGGACATGGAAAACCCTGAAGAGATCACAGATGGTGAAAACCAGCTGTAATGAGAGGTTGACTGTATACGAGTTACCATTTGGCAGTTGATGTCCCAGCAGCAAAGAGGCGTCTGGCCGGAGCTTAAATACACCGTCGGGCAGTCCTTCTCAGAGCGGCAGCAGATGGAGTGAGTTAGAGGTAATCAGCTGTGAAAGGAAGGGTCAGTGACAGGCAAAACCCACGTCTTTTTTGTGGCAGTTGCATTTATAACATTCTTCTACCAATATACCCACTGTCCCTCTTTTGGACATGTCCAAACCATTTAAGTCTGGTCTCTCTAACTTTATCTCCCAGTTGTTCAACCTGTGCTGTACCGCTAATGATCTCATTCCTAATCTTATCCATCCTTGCCACTCCTAAGCGGACCCTCAACATCTTCATTTCTGCTACTTCCAGTTCTTTCTCCTGTCTTTTTGTCAGTGCCACTGTCTCCCGACCATACAATGTAACTGGTCTCACCATTGTCTTGTAAACTTTTCCTTTGACCTTTACCGACACCCTTTTGTCACAACTCACTCCTGAAACTTCTCCATCCACTCTATCCTGCATGGACTCTCTTTTTCATTTCTTTACCACAGTCCCTATTTTCCTGGACAGCAGACCCCAAGTACTTGAAGTCCTGCACCTTTGTGACCTCTGCTTCTTGTACTCTCACTGTTCCACCAGCCTCCCTCTCATTCACACATGTACTCTGTACTATGACTTACTTTCATTCCTCTTCTTTCAAGTGCATACCTCCACTTCTCCAAGTTCTATTCCACTGGTTCCCTGTTCTTACCACAGATCACAATGTCATCTGCAAACATCATAGCCCTCAGGGTTTCCTGCTTGACCTCATCTGTTAGTTGGTCCATCACCAGAGCAAACAAGAAGGGGCTCAGAGCTAATCCTTGATGCAAACCCACTTCCACCTTGAAACTATCTGTAACTCCTACAGCACATCTCACCACTGTCCTGCTGTCCTCATACATGTTCTGTACCAGTCTAACATACTTCTCTGCCACTCCAGATTTCATCATGCATACCACACCTCCTCCCTCAACACCCTTTCATATGCTTTTTCTAAATCCATAAGACACAATGGAGTTCTTTCTGACCCTCTCTGTACTTCTCCATCAGCATTCTCAAAGCAAAGATGGCATCTGTGGTGCTATTTCTTGGCATGAAACCATACTGCTTCTCACAGATAGTCACCTCCAAGTCTTGCTTCCATAACCTTCTCCCAGATCTTCATCACGTGGCTCATCAACTTAATTCCCCTGTAGTTGCTACAACTCTGTACATCACCCTTGCTCTTAAAAATGGGCACCAGCACACTTCATCTCCATTCCTCAGGCATTTTTTTCACCCTCAAATATGCCATTGAATCTTTGAGTCAAAAACCTCACTGCCATTTCCCAAACCTCTACTGGTATGTCATCAGGTCCTACTGCCTTCCCCTTCTTCATTCGAGAGATTTCTGGAATTCACCCTCACTAATCTTTCCCACTTCCTGCATGGTCCACGGTTTCTATAACCTCTACTCTTCTTTTGCTTTCATTCTCTTCACTCATTATTTCCTCAAAGTACTCCTTCCATCTTCCTATCACACTCTCTTGACTTGTTAGAACATTACAATTCCTATCTTTAATAAGCCTAATGTACTGCACATCCTTTCCAGCCTGATCCCTCTGTCTTGCCAATCAGTACAAGTTCTTCTCGCCCTCTTTAGTGTCCAGCCTCCCATACAGCTCACTATACGCCTTCTGCTTTGTTTTAGCTACCCCCCTCTTTGCTCTACGTTCCATCTCCTTATTTATTAATTTTTTCATTTATTCAACCTTTATTTAAACAGATAAGTCACATTGAGCCTCGAAGAATCTTTATAAGTGAGACCTGTTTGGATAGACAATAAAAGTGGTAAAAAATGACACATAGGGTTTGGAGCCAATAGAAATTCCTAACTCGCTTTTAACCTCTGTTTGAAGGCCAGCAGTGTGATAATGGAAAAAATCTTGCACAAGAGCACATAATGACGCCGACATTACGTCGGGGGGGGGGGGGGGCAAGGGTGGTGAGCAGTCAGAGACAACACACAGAGGCATATTCCTGTCTCCTCTATTCAGTCCTTTTACTGTCCTATTTCTTCTTGGCTAACCTCTTTCTTTGAATAGTTTCCTGCACTTTACTATTCCACCACCAGGTTTCCTTATCATCCATTCTTTGTCCAGATGACACACCAAGTACCTTCCTACCTGTTTCTTTAATTACTGTTGCTGTAGTAGACCAGTCATCTGGAAGCTTTTTCTTACCACCCAGAGCGTTTAACATCTCTCTGAATTTCTCACAACATTCTTCCTTCTTCATCTTCCACCATTTGGTCTTCTTGTCTGATTTCACTCTTTCTTTCTTCACAAAAACAACAGTCATTCTACACACAAAAATTTGATGCTGTCTGGCCATGCTCTCCCCTGCCACAACCTTACAGTCCCCAATCTCCCTTAGGTTTCCTCTTCTACACAGAATGTAGTCAACCTGCGTATTCCTTCCTCCACTCTTATAGGTCACTATGTTCCTCCCTCTTTTGGAAGTAGGTATTGACTACAGCCATTTCCATTCTCTTGGCAAAATCCACCACCATCTGTCCTTCCTGGTTTCTTTCCTTGACACCAAACCTACCCATCACTTCCTCATCCCCTGTTTCCTTCACCAACATGTCCATCAGGTCTGCTTCGATCACCACTCTCTCCTCCCTGGAATACTCTCTATCACTTCATCCAGATCCTTCCAAAATATATCTTTCTCCTCCACATCACATCCAACCTGTGGAGCATAACCACTGACAACATTTAGCATCAGACTTTCTACTTCTACCTCCAGACACATCACCCTATCTGACACTCTTTTCACCTCTACTACATTCTTTACCAACTCCTCCTTCCGGACTCCATTTCGCTTTCTATCCACACCATGGTAAAACAATTTAAACCATGCTCCAATGCTATGAGCCTTGCTGCCCTTCCACTTGGTCTCTTGGACACATACAACACCTACCTTCCTTCTCTGCATCATGTCAGCCAGCTCTCTACCTTTGCCTGTCATTGTCCCATGTTTAGAGTTGCCACCCTCAGTCCTACATTCTTGACTTTCCTCTTCTCCCTCTGTCTCCTGACACGTTTCCCTCCTTGTGGTCTTCGACTAACAGTAGCACAATTTCCGCCGGCACCCTGTTTGTCAGCAGCACCAGTGGCGGTCATTGTTAACTCGGGCCTCAAAATATCCGGTATGGTTTTGCTTTGATGAACTCGTATTTTGATTTTGGCAAAAGTGTGTGGCAAAAGAGATTTCCTGTGGATAAATACATAAAAACTCATGGAGATTTTCTGCTGCCAAAGGTGCCTCCACAAAGTGTTCATTTTGAGGGGTTCAATAGTTATAAATCTTTCTGATTATTGTCCTTTGTCTTTGTTTCACAATGAAAATATTTTTCATTCAAAGCTGAAGATAAAAATAAATCTATAACATGAGTAATGCATTCGGCACAACAACAAAGACAGAAACAGTTTACGAAAGGAAAGAGACTATACCAAAATACAGCTGTCATTTAACGGGTGTATAATAATAATAATAATAATAATATAAATAAATTATATTTGATCGCACATTTCAATAATCACTTTTGATTTTCATTCACGTTACTTTTTATTTATGAAAATACACAACAAAAAAAGCATTTCAAACAGAAAAGGATACCAGAAACCCAACAACCTTGGTTTCTGTAAATGAAATGGGTTTTAATGAACTTCATGTTCATATCAAATCTACAAAATAAGTTCAACCTTAAAATGCTCTAAGTAATTTATACCCCTCACACAGTTTGGTGTCGTAGCCCTTATCACCTACAATCCCAGGTTGTCATTAACTTGAATTAAATAGGACACACACAAGATAAACCTTACATGTCACAAGGCAAACAAATATGTTACACAACATACAAAGATCACCACATTAAAAACTCTACAACAAAAGTGTGTTAAAATATTCTATGCATCGTAAGTGATGCGGTTATCAGTGGAACACAAGGTATACATCTAGAGTTTTGGATTTATAGCTCAGAGTTGGCATTATTTCTCAGTTCAAATCAATTAAATTAACGTGAAAGGAACTAATGAGACTACTGATTCATGACTTAGCCAGATTCTGAGCTCAAATGTAGTTCAGGTCATGATGACTACCCAACTTGGCCTTGATCTGGAAAATGAGCCTCTTTTCACTCTTTAGTTTTATTATTTCCTTTTTAACAATCACCACACTTGTCAGAGGTTGCACTTCTCTTGGTGCTTGTAGCAATGTTGTGGCATTTTAAAGTCTTATGTCTGAATGGCACTTCTACTTCTACTTTTTAAACCAATGCACACAATAGCAGATTTTTCCCTGCACACACACGCACACACAAGGACAAAAGATTGAGGTTCAAATAGTGCTGAATACATACAGTTATAATCCTGGTTCTGAAGGCAACACTGAACAGTACGCCACACTTTTTAAAAATGTAAATTCATTTAAAATACCATATTTCCATGAACTGTAGCTTTAATAATCTGTTTTATTGAAAGGTGGACTGCTCTTCTACGTACCCAAAACTCTTGTGCTTCTGAGCTGCTTGTGCTGATAACAAAATATGAACACCTTTGTCTTTTTCATTTGAAGGTAGGAGGATTTTCAAAAACTGTTCTTGTCTAACACTAAAAGGTGATATAGCTGTATCGCACTTTCAGTGTTAGACCCTACACAAGAGGCAAATGTGCAGAAATACTTTCGGCTAGTGACGTCTTCAAGAGAAGGCACCGCTGGATTGAGCAGAAACGGGCAGAAGAGGTAAGCTTTGCTGCTGTGTAAAATCCGAGGCTTTTTATTTCTGATGGTGCTTCGTAAATACCCAGTGGACTCTGAAATGAAGAGCAGGCGGTAGATTTGCTTAAATGGTATAAGGCTTGAGTGAAACAAGTGGGAGAGCGATGGCTGTCACCAACAGATGAGGCTCAGACTGCGAGGGTGGAGGTGGCACATCCAGCCAAGTCCAACAATGAACAATACAGTGTTTTGTCTGCCTCTTAAGAGCCACTCATGGCGCCGGGGGTATTCGCACTTCGAGCAGGCTGTAGGCAAAAATATTCCAGAATACAGCACAGAGCACAAACAGGGTGTAGACACAGAAAAATATCCAAAACAGGGACTGCTCCTGGAGTTTCTGTTCATAGTTCTGCAGGACCACCACGCCCAGGGTCAGGCCGACTGCCACGCCCCCCAGGTGAGCCACAAAGCTGGGGTTGGGGCATGGAGGGAAGGCTGGAGGGTAGAACCGCAGCCACACAGCACGACCAAACTCTACACTCACTAGAAGCAAAAAGACACACACACAAAAAAAACAAACCTAAATGTTAGTGTTTAAAAACTTATTGATAAAAAATGTTTTTGAACAATAGAAAACTGTGTTCGCATGTACTGTATTTTCTGGACTATAAGTCAATGTTTTTGTTTTTCATATTTTGGCCAGTCCTGTGACTTAAAATTCTGAAGCGACTTATATAAATCTTTTTTCCCTGTTCATGACGCAGTTTTTGACTGACATGTTAAATGTTCATTCATCCTGACATGAACCAGAGTAAACATTACCAATTGCAGCCAGGAGAGGGCCCTCTAGACTTTTGACAACTACATGTTGCTCCTCTACATCCCCCCCCCCCCCCCCCCAAAAAAAATAAAATAATTCACTTAGACAACTGAGAAAACACAAGTAAAATGTCCCCCAAAAGAAAATCCTATTCTGCAGATTACAGACTGCAGGTAAAAAAAATATGCAGCCCAAAATGGTAATAGAGCAGCAGAAAGAAAGTTTGTAACTGGGTGGGATCTGCACCCCTCGTGGGGAACCTTCCTCCAGTGTCTGGTGCATTTTCTCCACAGCGGTGCGCCACGACCGGCTCCCGCCTGCACCTCGCCACCTCCCGGGTCCGCGGACGACGCATCTCGCTGCGCCCTTCCTCCCCACTCCGGCAGTGGAGGGACGGAGCCCCCTCACCTCGGCACGGCTGCCGACTGGGACGGACTGTTCTCAGTGCAATCTGACTGCACCACCCAGGTGAAAAGAAGCTTTATTGACCATTAAAGTGCATTAATTAAGGAAAAATTAAACTGAGACACACCTTTGCTATAATGTCGAGCAAATAAATAATAGTTTTTAGATGTTCATCTTGTTAAATTTGGAAGAATGGTAACAGCGAGTCCTCCCGTGTGTGCTCCTGCGGCCACCAATTGATTTTTGGCACAACACCAGCCCATGTTTCCCAGGGGTCAGCGGTGACGCATAATAAACGTGACTTGTACTCCGAAGAGACTTAGATATGATTTTTTCCTCTTCATGATGCATTTTTGACTGATTCGACCTATACTCTGGAGCGACGTACAGTTTGGAAAATACAGTATGCTGATGATATGGTTGTATACATATCTACTTGCAGTAAGCTGTGAAAGAACTATCTGCTTTAACAATAAGACCCATGACTGGTTAGCTCATGCTTATATCTTATTGATAAAGCTTAAGTACCGGTATTAGTAATTAGTATAACTTTCAATCTGGGTAATTTTAAATGTATAACAAACAAATTAAACCAAAAAAGTACATGAAAGCCATAATTCTCTCATGTATCAATTATTGGCTGACCAGCTGGGCACAAATAAAACAGACTTTGCTACATTCAACAGAATGAGTAAATTAATCAAGCTCTGACAATAATAAATTTTAAAGTTACACTAATTTCTGTAGGACTTTTACCCAAAGTTTATAAGTATGGTTAAACATGAATAAATGTACTGATATTGTGTACAAGATTTCTTTTGTTTTCCTTTCTTTCTTCTGACTAAATTTACTGAACAAAATCAAAAATTGTTAACTGGAGCTAGAAGGAGAAGTTATAAAGTCTGATTTCTTTGATGGAATAACTGGAATGCTGTACCTAGAGAACCAAAGAACATTACACTCTCCAAGTTATTTTCTAAATCAATAAAACAGTGATTGTCAATTAATAAAAACCTGAAATCATACATAGAGTAAACTGCTTTATTTCACCAAACTAATTTTTTTTGTGTGATTTCTTCTTTCCAAGATTGTGTTTTTATTAATTATGTGCTTTTAGGGGCAGCACAGTGGTGCAGTGGTTAGCACTGTAACCTCACAGCAAGAATGTTGTAGGTTTGCCTCCTGAGCTTTTATTGTGGAGTTTGTATGTTCTCTTCATGCATGTGTGGGTTTTCTCCAGGTACTCTAGTTTCATCCCACAGACCAAAAACATGCATGTTAGACTGATTGGTAACTCTAAAATGTCTCTGGGTGTGAGTGAGAGAGTGAATGGCTGTTTGTCTCGTTTGTCTCTGTGTGTCCAGGTGATGGACTGGAGACCTGTCCAGGATCTACCTCACCTCAAGCACGTGATTTTTATATCATCAAACTGCCGAGGACTGCAGATGAAAATGAGTAAGTAATTAATAAGACTAAATCTGGCACTTTTGCACGATGAAGCCCATATTGATGAAGGACCTTTTCCCATTGGATGAAAACACAGCAAACAATGTTGGAAAATGAACCAGAACCTGGATGGTTTTTGCAGTGTCTTCATTATAAATGCAGTGAACTCACTCGTTATAAGTTATGACAGGTCTTGTATTGCCTTGAGCATCCACAAAACCTCTGTATTAAAGTTGTGATGGTTTATCAATATTGTAGCAGCATATGGTCCATGTGCACCAGCATGGCTTGGACATCAATATTTTTCAGGAGAACTGGCCATGCTGGCATCATGTCTTGGCTACAGTCCCTTCAAATCATCAGTATTATGCAATATTATGTAATCTTTTACCACATACCTGCATCCTGACTTGGTGTCTGCAAGAGTCATGTATGTACAAAGCTTCTCAGGGACACAGAAAATATCAGGAAAACTATTTGGTGAGCACTAAGAAAGTAGTAATATCATGACTGTTTTCACATTGAAGATTTTCTAAATTTGCTGCAAGCCATCAAAGTGAGGTCATGGAGAGTATAACGTGGGTTTTAACCAGTGTGATTGGGTGAATTGTCCTTTCTGCTGTTCCACTGATATGCACAGAACAAAGTTTGTGACAAAGTGAAGATTTGAGGAAATCTGCTGGCTTCCTTAGATGGATAACTTTTACTAATTGCCATTTTATAATGTATATATATTTTTACTGTACTCTGAGATGACTGTTTGTGTTTTGGTGCTATAGAAATAAACTGAATTGAATTGAGTCTAGGCTAATAGACTGGTCTTTTTGTTATTTACTATGTCTTGATTGCTGTAATAATTTCATCTCTACATCAAGAACTTTGAAAAATTACTTTTTATCAGAAGTGACAGAAGGCAAAGTCAAAACACATCATTTTAATCACTTGATGTTAAAAGAATCAAAGATTTTGGTCTCTGATCACCAGCTGTATCTCCTCTAGCACTTCTCAGTAAAAATGTCCCTGAGCTGCTGCAGAGTGGCAGCCACACAAAGAAGGACTTTCAGACTAAATGACTAATTCATCCAGACTCAGTTAATGTTTTTGTACTTTTGAACTGCTTTGTGGATTTTCATCACATCAGGCCTGTAAATGGACACTGTTATAAAACATTTGCAATCAGAAGGCGCACATCCTGCTCATTTCTGGGACGTAAACCACAACAACAATTACTTGTCCATTTGTTAAAAAAGGGCTTTAAAATGAGAAATTAACTGTGTAATTTAGATTTACAAATATAACCAAAAATAACACTTTCCATAAAGAGATGCATTTATACTTTTTTCTCTATAAATAAAAAAGTATATAAGTCTAGAAACCTAACAGAAACAGAAGTTAGCTTTGTTAAATGTAATGGCAATTCAAAGGTAAATGTGGCAAAGTGGAAAATGCATCCCAAACTTACTGCAAACCAGTGCCATGGCCATTCGGAATAACTTAAACTGACACTTCATTCCCGACCAGTTCTACAAAGAAACAGAGGAGAAGAGGAGTGTTTAAAAGTGGAAGGAAAAACAGAGACTATTAGAGCTCCTTCAGAAACACAGACACACCATACAGTTACTACGGTGGCCCTGAGGTCTAAATGAACAAAATTTGAAAAAACAGAATTATATTTCAATAAAACGGAATTACATGAGAAAAAAACGGAATTACATTAAGCCAAAGCGGAAGTGGCTGTAATCGCATTTGAAAAAATGGAATCACATTTGAAAAAATGGAATTACATTAAGCCAACGTCAAAGCGGAAGTGGCCAAAGCGGAAGTGGCCGGAATCACATTTGAGAAAAACGAAATTACATTTCAAAAACAAAATTAAATGTGAAAAAAACACAACAAAAACACAACAACATTTTCAAAAACAGAATTACATTTGAACAAAATGGAATTACATTAAACCAAAGTGGAAGTGGCCAAAGCGGAAGTGGCCAAAGCGGAAGTAGCCAAAGCGGAACTGGCCGGAATCACATTTGATAAAATGGAATTACATTTGAAAAAATGGAAATACATTTGAAAAACGGAATTTCATTAAACCAAAGTGAAAGTGGCCAAAGCAGAATTGGCTGGAATCACATTTGAAAAAACGGAATTACATTTGAAAAAACGGAATTACATTAAGCTAAAGCCAAAGCGGAAGTGGCCAAAGCGGAAGTGGCCAAAGTGGAAGTGGCCGGAATCACATTTGAGAAAAACACAATTACATTTCAAAAAAAAAATTAAATTTGAAAAAACACAACAAAAACACAACAGTATTTGAAAAAACAGAATTACATTTGGAAAAAGAATGGAATTACATTAAGCCAAAGTGAAAGTGACCATAGCGGAAGTGGCCAGAATTACATTTGAAAAATCAGAATTAATGTAATTCCGTTTTTTCAAATGTTGTTCATTTACACCTCAGGCCCACCACATTTATTATATACACATGCTGACATGAAAAAACAGAGGGTTGTGCCCTACATTTCATCTGAACCCCCCAAGGCCCTCTGACCCCACTGTGGTCTTAGATAATATGATTTCAGCAGAGAACAAAGATAAATCCCTCCATCCTGACCTTGAGAATATTGTGGTGGAAACATAATGAGGACTCAGAACACACTGCACAAGTTCACCTCCAACAAAAAAATGTATCCGATGCCCTCTTATAGGGGGGTCAGAGGTTACACCAAAGACAGGACACAGCTTTGATGAGATTTCCTGCAAATACCAGCACGTTTCAGATCTTTGAGGAACAAAGAGAACCTGATGAGGTGAAGAATGTTTGGTATTTGGAGGTAGAACAGCACCTGCTCCTGTGATGACAGGGCAGCTGACAGATGTAAAAACCATCAACACGCAGAAAAAAACACCAGAACTCACCATGACCACGTTAGCCAAATGTGCTGAAACCAGAGCATACACTCCTCCAGATGATCCAACCACTGGAGCTGTCATATCAGTGACTGACACTGCCAGAGACCCTGGAACCAGAAAAGACACCCCGTTTGGTCAACTGGATTATGGTCCAATTACAAACCCATATTCTTTATTAAATGACTAAATGTATTTCTTTAAGAATTTAAAAACTGTGTCGAACTGCAGTAACAGTGTACGAACAACTGCCAAAAAAACAACAACTTAATAATAATAATAATTGGTCTAATCATTCGTTAAGCCAATTATTGATATTTTTTAATAACAGGCATCAGACGTGTGGCCTTTTTATAGAAGAGGGACTTTTTGTGGTGCAACACCAACAGACCTCATAAGATGCTCGATGCAATATTATGCTAATTTTTGAAGGAACAATGTCTCACATAAGAGGAAAAATGTTACAGCTGTGATTTTAAAGATTCAAAAGTTTTTCTTGGATCTTGACTATTAAAATACCCACACACCCAACAGTCAAATGTTTATAAAGTGAATTTTCTCATCATTACAGATTTAGTCACCTTTTATTTTTCCTTTTCAGAAGAAATGAGAAATACTTTACTTATTTGCTCTGGACTTGCTCCCTAATTCTACTCTTCTTCCTCTGACTCAGCATCCAGAGGATTATTTTACTGACACAATATCTGTCTACCTCTGAAACAGTCTGAAGTGGACTTGGTAGTGTTTGAATGTAAACAAAGGACTTGTAATTGTTGGCAACTAAATAATATTATGTTGATTTTGCTCTTTTGTAACAAATTATGTGGAAGAGTTTTGGTGGTGAATGATGCATATTTAGTAATTATTTAGATGATACATGTATACAATAGATTCAAGTCCAAAACTTAAAAGAATCACATATTTTGACAGCTAATATTATTACTATTATTATACTATTACTATTATTAATACTTAATTATGAATTAAGTAATAAATTATTAAGTAATGATTACGTAATAATTACTACTTAATTATTAATACCATTCTGGGTTTTTGAGCAAGGCCCTTAACCACCACATCTGCTCCCCCAGGTGCCCTAGATAGCAGCTCTCTGCTCCACACAGAGGGCTGTGGTAGCTCAGTGGTCTGTGGTTGTGTCAGGAAGGGCATCTGATGTTAAAATAATTGCCAAGTCTTCGTGCGACTAAGTTCGCTGTGGTGACCCCTGAAGAGGGGAGCAGCCGAACCCCACCAAAAAACAAACTATAACAAACAAAGTTCATGCTCAATAATCCAGGTATGCAATCCAACAATTGTTGGATTGTACAGTATACCTGGATTACTGAGCATGGACTTTGTTGGTTTTGAACCAGTTTGACACGACTGTCGATGAGGGAGAGGGCTGGCACCGGAGGAGGGGGCGTGCCAAAAAAGACCATCTTGGCACCAACATAACTGGTTTGTTTCACTTTGGAGTAAGCTGTTTGGGGGAAGAATCAGTTTTGTGTTGTGTGTTTCCTTGACTGTTGAAGCCTTCTGGATGAAAGGTGAAACATTTCAGCACAAAAAAAGAAACTGTCCAGATGACCTGACTGGGAATTGTTAAACTATAATTAATACAATTGCTACAAATATAAATGTCTTTTATAAATGACACTACCTGTCTAAATAAAAGTAAATCCAATAAAGACATTAAGGCTGTTTGGGAGGTGTGCCTGTGCAGGGTTCCAGACATTTGGTAAATTAAATTTGAGCACTGTGACTGAGTTTGTATGCTATCAATCAAATAAGTCTATCATCTGCAGCCTCAGGACGCCCTGTAGTTCAGACTTCAATGGCTGACTCCGTGTCTTTGTGTTCGTTTTCACACAGAGAGACTGCTGTTTTATTTGATATGCACAGGAGGCATATTTGGAGTGCGTGTAAGTGTATTGATCGTGGTATGGTGTGTGTGGGTGTGTGTTGGTATAAAAGGTCAGAGACCTTTCTCTGAGTCATTGATCTCTGACCTCAGTTTTTGCTCTTGAGGGTGCCAGCTGAGCCCCTTTTTCCAAACCGTGTCATGAATATCTGCTGTTTTATTTGTTTTCTCAGGCAGTTTCCAGACAAAAAAGATCTCTGTTCCATAAAGGTAAAGTGAAGAAATATACTGAATTAAAAAAATGTATGTATGTTCATATTTGCGATTAACTAAAATTGGGCTCTCGTGACAATTTTACCTGTGTGCTCATTTATATCCGTGTCTGTAGTCCCCGTTCTGTGAATCCAAAACCATCATTCACTTTAATAAGTAGAATCCTAAAGTTACATCTATTTTGCTGAAAATGCTGGATTTATATTTAGAAAAACATTTGATCACCAGGTGAAAAATGTTAATACAGTAGTCCTGCGCTACTTCGCGGTTCAACTTTCGCGGACTCGCTCTATTGTGGACGTACAGTCCATAATATTGTACAAATAAAAAAAATGCACAGGACTCATGATGGTCAACTTTAATATTACTCACGTGATTGGGACAGTACAGGATACAGTACTGTACAGTAAAAAGTTAATGAAAAAATAAAATACTTTGGATACGTTTTGCAGTTTTCTCTCACTAAGCCTCCACTGTATTCCCGCTTTGGGATGTAGAATGTCAACTCACTGATGGGGAAGGAGCCTGAGCTGGTGTGTAAGGTTGAGAGGTTCCGGCTAGAAATAGTCGGACTCACCTCTACGCATGGCTCTGGAACCAGTTTCCTTGAGAGGGGTTGGACACTCTTCCACTCTGGAGTTGCCCCTGGTGACAGGCGCCGAGCAGGAGTGGGCATACTTATTGCCCCCCATCTTGGTGCCTGTGTGTTGGGGTTCACCCCGGTGAATGAGAGGGTGGCCTCCCCCCGCCTACGTGTGGGGGGACGGGTTCTGACTGTCGTTTGTGCTTATGCACCAAACAACAGTTCAGATTATCCACCCTTTTTGGAGTCCTTGGAGGGGGTACTAGAAAGTGCACCTCCTGGGGACTCCCTTGTACTGCTGGGGGACTTCAATGCTCACATGGGCAATGACAGTGAGACCTGGAGGGGTGTGGTTGGGAGGAACAGGCCCCCTGATCTGAACCCGAGTGGTGTTCTGTTGTTGGACTTCCGTGCTCGTCATGGATTGTCCATAATGAACACCATGTTCAAGCATAAGGGTGTCCATATGTGCTCTTGGCACCAGGACACCCTAGGCCGCAGTTCGATGATCGACTTTGTCATCGTCTCATCTGATCTGTGGCCACATGTCTTGGACACTCGGGTGAAGAGAGGGGCAGAGCGGTCCACTGATCACTACCTGGTGGTGAGTTGGTTCCGTTGGTGGGGGAGGATGCTGGACAGACCTGTCAGACCCAAATGTATTGTGAGGGTTTGCTGGGGATGTCTGGCAGAGTCTCCTGTGAGACGGAGTTTTAACTCCCACCTCCGGGAGAACTTCGAACATGTTCCGGGGGAGGTGGGGGACATTGAATCCGAGTGGGCCATGTTCTGTGCCTCTATTGTCGAGGTGGCTTACCGGAGCTGTGGTCGCAAGGTTGTCGGTGCTTGTCACGGTGGCAACCCTCGAACCCGGTGGTAGACACCGTCGGTGAGGGATGCTGTCAGGCTGAAAATGAGTCCTATTGGGCCTTTTTGGCCTGTGGGACCCCAGAAGCAGCTGATGGGTACCGGCAGTCCAAGCAACATGTGGCTTGGGTGGTCGCTGAGGCAAAAACTTGGGCATGGGAGGAGTTCGGAGAGGCCATGGAGAATGACTTTTGCACGGCTTTGAGGCGATTCTGGTTCACCATCCGGTGTCTCGGGGGGGAAAGCGGTACACCACCAACAATGTTTATAGTGGGGCTGGTGTGCTGCTGACCTCAACTCGGGATGTCGTGGGTTGGTGGGCAGAATACTTTGAAGACCTCCTCTATCCCACCGGCACGTCTTCCACTGAGGAAGCGGAGCCTGGGGACTCTGAGTCGGGCCCTCCAATCTCTAGTGCTGAGATCACCGAGGTGGTTAAAAAGCTCTTCCGTGGCAGGGCCCCAGGGGTGGATGAGGTTCGCTCGGAGTTCCTTAAGGCTCTGGATGTTGTAGAGTTGTGTTTGCTTACGCGACTCTGCAATTTTGCGTGGACATCAGTGGAAGTTCCCCTGGATTGGCAGACCGGGGTGGTGGCCCCCCTATTCAAAAAGGGGGACCGTAGAGTGTGTTCCAACTACAGAGGGATCACGCTCTTAAGCCTCCCTGGTAAGGTCTATTCGGGGGTTCTGGAAAGGAGGGTCCATCGGATAGTCGAACCTCAGATTCAGGAGGAGCAGTGCGGTTTTTGTCCTGGTCGTGGAACACTGGACCAGCTCTACACTCTCAGCAGGATTCTGGAGGGTGTGTGGGAGTTTGCCCAACAAATGTGCTTTGTGAACTTGGAGAAGGCGTTCGACTGTGTCCTTCGGGGAACCCTGTGGGGGGTACTCTGGGAGTATGGGGTACCAGGCCATTTGATACGGGCTGTTAGGTCCCTGTATGACCGGTGTCAGAGCCTGGACCGCATTGCCAGCAGTAAGTCGGGCTTGTTCCCGGTGAGAGTTGGACTCCGCCAAGTTGCCATTTGTCACCGACCCTGTTCATAACTTTTATAGACAGAATTTCTAGGTGCAGCCAAGGTGTTGAGGGGATCCATTTTGGTGGCCTTAGGATTGCTTCTCTGCTTTTTGCAGATGATGTGGCCCTATTGGCTTCATCAGATCGTGATCTACAGCTTTCGCTGGAGCGGTTCGCAGCCGAGTGCGACACGGCTGGGATGAAGATCAGTTCCTCCAAATCTGAGGCCATGGTCTTGAGCCGGAAAAGGGTAGAGTGCCCTTTCTGGGTCAGGGAGGAGGTCCTGTCCCAAGTGGAGGAGTTCAAGTATCTTGGGATCTTGTTGACGAATGAGGGAAAAATGGAACGTGAGATCGATAGGCGGATAGGTGCAGCGTCTTCAGTGAAGCGGGCACTGTACAGGTCTGTCATGGTGAAGAGAGAGCTGAGTCAAAAGGCAAAGCTCTCAATTTACCAATTGATCTACGTTCCTACTCTCATCTATGGTTATGAGCTTTGGGTTGTGACCG